AAGCCTCATCTTTCTCCCGCGGAGCAGCTGGTAGTTTCGAACCGCTGACCTTAAGGTTCGCAGCCCGATTCGTAACCACTACGCTACCAGAGCTCCAAAACTGAAAAGAAATTAGACTGTTCTGAATTAGACAAGAGTCTGAGGTACAGACACCTGGAGGAATGGCAGGATCTAGAGAAGCGATTAGAATAAAGAGAAAGGAAAGATTAAGCTGGACTAGAGCAATAAAAATAAAAAAGGACTCAGTGGTTGAGCAGAGTGATTGGGGTGAGCTGATCAGTGGCAATTAAGGTGATAAAGGATCTAAACTGTATAATCTTTCCCACAAGATTTCACTGAAGATGAAAATCTGTACAAGTACTGCTCTTTCAAAAAAAAAAAAAAAATTAAGAGTGGGAGGCAATGAAGTAGAGTTCTCCTTGAAGTTTAGCCTAAAGTAATTATAGAGAAGATATGGAAAGCTAGCCAAAATCTGCATTAACACAAAAAAGGTTTAAATTTGCCATTTATAACGAATCTAAGTCGAACTATTTGGTCTTCAACAAAACTTGGATGAAAGACAGCTCTCTTGCAGAGATTCTAAAAACATGAAAATCCTCTTTAAAACAGATTTGAAATGTTTCAGACATAAAACTCAATGGCATACCAGATAGATATCTTCTGTTTAAGATAGTTAAGATCTTTGTAAGGTAAAAAAAAAAAACACACAGATTTAATGCTTGTCTGAAGATCTTTAAGGGCTATTTGGAAGTAAAATTGTGCCTTTTGAGCATTTTTAAAATGCTTAAATAAAATTCAGTAGTAGGATTCTTTCAGGTTTTCTTTTCCATAGATTTTTTCAAGCTGATGTAGAAAGAAATTGTCTCAACTGAAGACTTTCAAATATTTGGAAAAATACATTTTTCTTCTTTGAGTATTTTCAGATACAAATCAGGTTGTCAAGAACTTTATGTCTACAAATTACGTTGTCATGAAGTTTACAATTTTATTAGAATAATGCTTGCTTTGGAATCATAAATTTGAATTACAAACATAGTAGACTACTTTGAAATACACGTTCCCCTTGGAAACTTAGGGATGTTTGAGTTTCTCTCATCATATGCCATCGAGCTGATAAGATGGTACAAGCATTTATGTGTGAATCTTTACTCTCCCTTGAAACATGTTTTCTTCAGGGAAGAAAGTGAAGAATGAATCTTCAGTCTTTGCCAGCCATCTGTGCTTTCTCTTGTCATAATGAAACTTTGTGGTCTGGTTCAGGTTCATTCTATTCCTAATTACAAGGAGCCAACATGACAATGACTGGTGTGGCATGGTACCGTCCTGAAGGCCTTCAAGGAGAAAATGTTTTTTTCACATTCATGAAATAAAATTAAACTGAAATGAATTCTGAATCAACATTTCAAGGCTTCCTTATAATTAGCCTAAAATACAGAAGTACAAAAACGCCAAGCAATAAAATCAATGTTCTATAAAATCTTAACTACATCATAGTCAAAACATAATTGTCAGAGAATATATCACTGAGGGAAACACATACATGGTATTTGCCAAAAATATACACAATTTCTGTATATAACTATTTGAAAAAAATAAAGTCATTCTAAAGAAATACAAAATAAAGAAAATAAATAATTTCTTAACTGCCACTCACCAATCTCAATTGAAGATTCACAGTGGTAATAACCATTGCTTTGTTTTTTCTTCACCATGGAACAAAGGTCTATACGATATAACAATTCTTCTCCAAAACTGTAACTGATAAATTTTTCATATAATTTGGGGTCTATTTGTTTCACTCCCTTGAAATGACAAAACAAAATCACATCAATGAACCATTTCCCAGTTAATGTGCATATCACTTTCTTAGTGCCTGATAATACATTTTGATACACAATACTGTCTCCTGGCACATGAAAATGCACACCGTAAAACTATTGTAGAATTGTTTTTTACAGCCTCCCAGGATTCATTGTTTAAAGAAATCAGCATTAAAGAGTTTAATGCTAGCAGTATTCAGAACTTCATATTCTTGAAGCTTTAGAAGCCATCAAGAACATCAGGTATCAAAGAAAGAATAACCATCAACAACAACAATGGAAATATTGGGTGGGTTTTTATTTATTTATTTATTTTAAGTGATGTGAATCTTCTTATTTCAAACAGGAGAGCTATAGAAATGCCTCCTTTCAGTGCAAGTAGTGACTGGGTTCCATGACTGGTCCCCTATGACTGGGTTGCGTGGCTGGGTTTTACCATAGTTCCATGGATGGGTTACATGATCCATGGGATTTTCAATGGCTGATTTTTTCAGAAGCAGATTGCCAGACTTTTCTTCCGACATATCTCTGGGTGGACACAAACATCCAACCTTTTGGCAAGTACCTGAGTGCGTGAATCATTTTGCACTACCCAGGAATTTCTTTGGACCATTAGGTTGTTGCTCATTTTTAATATTATATAAACATCGTGAACAATCCTTGGGCATATCTTCAGGCATGTTCTCAATTCTGACTTTAGAATAAATGTATAGAAGTTGATTTTCTAAAACAGAATGAATATATATTTCTAAGGCTTTAACACAGATTTCCAACTGGCTCTCCATAATGGCTGCACCGGCACAAAATCCCACCAGCAATGCACCCAAGGGTTTGTCTTCCTGTTTCCTCATCACTCCAGATGGTACCATACTTTTTATCCTTGACTACTTAATATTTTTTAATGGGTTTTATTTTCATTTATTACTGATGAATAAAATATAATTTGTACATTAGAAATCTTAGAGGACTATCATGTTTTCTCCAGTTTTCTAAGAAGATGTTAGTCTGAATTTTTATTAGATTTTTGATGCTATATTTTTATTTTTTGTCTGTTTTGTTTTTTAATATGCGTTTGCTACATTATAAGTCACATATATACATTTTAGTTTTTAAAATAAACATTCAGGTGTACAATTTAGTGACATCAATGACATTAATTATGTTGGTCAACCATCACTCATTGTTGTGTGCCGTGGAGTCGATTCCAACTCATAGTGACCCTGTACAGGGTTTCCAAGGCTATAAATCTTTACAGGAGCAGAAAGTCTCATCTTTCTCCTGTGGAACAGCTGGTAGTTTCAAACTGCTGACCTGAAGGTTTGCAGCCCGATTCGTAACCACAGCGCTACCAGAGCTCCTTACCATCACCCATAGTCAATAATAACTCCTTTTTCCCTCTCCCTCCCACCCCGGTAATCACAAATAAACTCATGTTTCTATACACTTTCCTATTCTTGTTATTTCATATAAGTGAGGTTATACAACATATGTACTTTTGTTATTGAAAATTCACACTTTTAAAAAGATACCTGTTTGCACCCCCAAATGTTTCTTCCCCTGTTGGTGGGAGAAAAAGGCATGAGAGACTGGGCTAAATCTCCAGTGAGGCACACAGAGTACTGAGTGAGGTTTGGAGGACACCCTAGAGGCTCATGGGAGGCTAATCATGACACAAAATCAGAGTGTTGATGTCGTCGTTGTCAAGTGTCTTCAAGTTCGGTTCTGATTCATAGTGACCCTGTATAGGGTTTCCGAGGAGTGGCTGGTAGGTTTGAACCACCGATCTTGCAGTTTAAATCAACCTTGCAGACTAGTGCATTATCTTATAGTGCCACACCAGGACAGTGGTGATAGGACAGGCTATTTTTAAATAACATTTACTGTGTTCTTGGTGAAAATCACAGTCATTTGATAATCTCTGAATGAACTGCCAGTGGCTTATTATTACATTTCAAACAGTGTGTCAATAAGCTCTTGCATTACATCTGGCTATTCCATTTCCAGTATTCTAGCTTAGCTTTCACTTATCTTCTCATGTTTGCTTTAGAGTAAATGTTTACTTTTTGGTGTCACATATGGTTTTTAATTGGACACCATATTCAAGAGGAATGTCATTTATTTTGTGTGCCAATCTGTTATTTTGCTAAAAAGTGACCTCAGGGGATAGTTTTGGTTCAAGATTCAGAAGTAGTTCAGGGCAAATAGTCTCAGGCAGTCTTCTACTCTCAACTGGTCAATTAAGCCTGAACTTTTGAAGAATTTGAGTTTTATTCTACATTTTTCTCTCATTCCATCAGGGTCCTTCCTATTAAATTATAAGAACTACTTATACTAAAATGAAAGCAACAGTGCAAACATCCATTAATAATTTGAGCATGGAATATACAAAGTATAAATCTAAGAATATGAGATGTGTAGAATGAAATGGAATGTATAAAGATAGATATCCTACGTCATTAGTGAGCTGAAATGGACTGGTGTGGCCACTTTGACTTAGACAAGCTTATGGATCACTATATTATGTTCATCAAATTGAAGAGGAATGACATCACATTCATTGTCAAAAGGAACACTTCAAGATATATCTTGAAGCACTATGCTGTCTGTAACAGGATAATATCCATATACCTATAAGGAACACCAGTTAATACCACTATTATTCAAATTTACCCATGAAGCACTAAAGCCAGCAAAGATGAAATTGGAAAGTTTGTACCAACTTCTTTAGTCTGAAATTGATCAAACATATAATCAAGATGCATTGATAATTACTTGTGATTGGAATGCGAACTTTGGAAACAAAGAGGAAGGATCAGTGGCCTTGGTGATAGAAATAATGCCGGAGTTCACATGATAGAATTTTTTAAGATCGACTTATTCATTCCAAACACGATTTTTAAACATAAATATTAACTACACATGAGTGCCTCACCAGATGGAATACACATCAAATTGACTACACCTATAGAAAGAGGCAGTGAAAATGCGCAATATCGCTAGACAAAACAAGGCAAGGGGCAGCCTGTGGGAAAGACCATTAATTACACATATGGAAGTTCAGGCTAAAGCTGAAGACAATGAAAACAATTCCACCAGAACCAAAATATGACCTTGAATATATCCCACCCGAATTTAGAAACCATCTCAAGAACACATCTGATGCATTAGACACAAATGTCCAAAGACCAAAGGAGCTACGGGATGACATCAAGAACATTATACAGAAAGAAATCAGAAGGCCTTTAAAAAGACAGGAAAAAAAGAAAAATACCAAAATGGATGCCAGAAAAGACTCTGAAACTTGCTCTTGAGCATACAAAAGCTAAAGCAAGTGGGGAAAAAATAAGCAAAAGAGCTGAACAGAAAACGTCAAAGGACAACATGAGATGGCAACATAAAGTGCTATAATAAAACATGCAAAGACCTGGAGTTAGAAAACCAAAAGTGTTCTTGAGAACACTCAGAATTTCTCAAGCTGAAAGAATTGAAGAAAAAATTCAAACCCTGACTTGCAATATTGAAGGATTCCATGGGCAAAATATTGAAAGATGCAGAAAACATCAAAAGAAGATGGAAGGAATACACTGTACAAAAAGCGGAAGGTTGATGTTCAAACATTTCAAGAGGTAGCATATGATCAAGAACCCATGGTAAATGAAGAAGTCCATGCTGTACTGAAAGCACTGGCAAAACATAAGTTTCTGTGAATTAACAGATGAAAACAAACATTTTCAAATGAGAATCTTTCTTCAAACTTTTGTAGGACAAGCAGTGCTCACTCATTTATCCTAAGAAATCTGGAAGACAGCTACATGGTCAACAGATTAGAAGAGATCCATATTTATGCTCATTCCAAAGAAAGGTGATAAAATGTGGAAATCATCTAACAATATCATTAATATCACATGCAA